CAGTTTGCACTTCATTGCTTCCCATTAGCGAGTACATGGCTTTACAAGAACTGGCAGATTTTACCATGGTGGCTCGAAGAGCTTGCTCAAGTTTCAGAAGGGTTTACAGAGTTTAACAGGGTTAGAATTCTAAACTGGAACTAGCCAAATAGAAAAGTGCAAAATGCCCCTTCCCCGCCCCCTCCCTCCGTCGCCGCACTGTGCCGGAATATTATGTTCATTTACCTACATAGGCCTGAGGAAATCTGAAGAGAGTGGTTCACAACCAATGGTAGAAGTCGTCGAAGCACCGGATTGGAAGGCCAATCTTGAACGCAAGGATGAAGAAGTCGCCTTGCCTCGGAATCGTCTTCTACATTGGGGTCCAATTGTTGCTCTTTCAATTACATTTTATGTAAGTGCAGATTTCTACGTTCACTGATTACCCCCTAAATGGAGAGGGCGTGGCTGTATACAATACTTGAGCAAGGCAGCGAATGTTTTTGATTTTTCGTTTTTCGTTGAATATTCCCATTTGAGACAACTATCACTCTGTGCAAAGCAATCCATGAGAAGTGCAGCACGGCCACCAGGTGAAGCGCACGGGCACGCCCACTCCACCTTCAGGATACGGAGTGTACGTTGTGGGGCTGTGTTTTAGACGCTTGGTTGATTGACAGGGCATGTCATCGTTGAGGAATTCTCTACGATGAGAGGGGGTAGGGGTCAGCATTTGGTCAGTATCGCAAATATGCCACCTTTCTGAAATATGAGGCGTGCACTTCCCTGAAACGCCACAAATATTTCGCGTGAAAAAAGAGTTTTTCCGTTTCACCCCCATAATTAATGAATTGTCTATAAACGGTCTGTTTCCTGTCCTAAAGCTGGTAATGGTTTGATCAGTAAATAGCTTCTTGTCCTTAGACTATCGCCGATCTTATCAGTACCTTCTTTCATATATTTGATAAATATTATTATTTATGAGAAGACGATTCCGAGGCAAGGCGACTTCTTCATCCTTGCGTTCAAGATTGGCCTTCCAATCCGGTGCTTCGACGACTTCTACCATTGGTTGTGAACCACTCTCTTCAGATTTCCTCAGGCCTATGTAGGTAAATGAACATAATATTCCGGCACAGTGCGGCGACGGAGGGAGGGGGCGGGGAAGGGGCATTTTGCACTCTTTCTATTTGGCTAGTTCCAGTTTAGAATTCTAACCCTGTTAAACTCTGTAAACCCTTCTGAAACTTGAGCAAGCTCTTCGAGCCACCATGGTAAAATCTGCCAGTTCTTGTAAAGCCATGTACTCGCTAATGGGAAGCAATGAAGTGCAAACTGCTAATTCCCCCTCCCCTCCCCCCCCCCTGTCGCCGAACTGATCCTAATATTCTTTATAATGGGTAACATTTCACATACCTACCAACCGCAGCAGTCCAGTCAGTCGAGACTTCTCTTGAGGTGGACCCTTCATTTTTGGCGATTTTGTTCTGGTAATCCCCATTAGTTATTGCATTACAAAAGAATCAAAGAGCAATGGATTAACACCTATAAGTAAACAATAAACGCCCAATCATTATATAACGATCAGAAGGACCATTGTTGAAGAAAAGTTAAAAATTATCAATAAACAAGTAAAAAAATCTAACAAGCATGGCTGGCAGTGCAAGCGCTTTTCCTCACAAATGCAACTCCATACGCAAAAATAATTTATTTTTCAAACAAATACAACAATATTTCCAAGTACAACAATGCAAACGGATTCGCCCGTTGCCAAACGGCTTTAAGCAGTTACTTACTGAAATATTATATTTCAGAGATTGTTCAAATGATACAGGTACATGGATAAAAACGTTAATAAAGATCAAGTGGTAGACAATCATGGCGTCGTCCTCGCTACAGTTCATATTATGGGAAGAAGCACCAGCGGGACTACTGTGCTCGTGGTTTCGACATATACGCTTCCAGTTCAGCATCCAATTCAGCCTCCGTCATTCGGGCCCTAGAATCGTCTCGTTTGACCTTCTTTGTATCTCTAAAGTGAAGTGATTAGGAAGTTACCATGAGAATTAAAGACCGGTCATATTATTGAAACACTCAAAAATAGATTCCCTTGGGAACATCCGAAATTAAGGCCACATAAAAACGTTGTGTGAAAGGAGACCACTATTTGAGTGGGAGTAGTGGCGACAAAGGACTAGATGGGAACTGACCGACTGCGCCCACCACTTTTTCCGAGAATTTGCAAATTCTAGTAAGCAGAATAACCCACCTCCTTCTAGTCTTCGATTTCCATAAACCACAATTCTCTAAGTTTCTATCAGATCACCTTTCGCGCATCTCAGTTGCGTCAGACGTGCCCAAAATAATGTTAACCCAACTAAACAGTAATTTCAGAAGTTCAACATTTTCTAAGAGGGGTGTGTGCCGTTAGTACCGTGTCGCGGCCAACGCGAAAGAGGCGGGGTTGCTCACACAGCATACGCATCAGCAGCCATCCACTCATCAGCAGTCTTTTCTCTATTTGGCATATTCTCGCTTTTGCTCTGCGCTCCTCTTTATGGCCTTTTATGACTAGTGACCTCACACATTCTAGCTTTCGACGCACAATAAGTGGCTCACAAACTTCGGAGTCCCCTCCTCTTGAGAAATCCTTCCCATTTCCCGCCACAGGTTTTTGCGCTTTCCACCAACCACCTGATGTACAAGTCGTGTTTTAATCCTCCCAGACGTACGTAGTACCAGTTCACCACCTTCGGAGGCGCAGGCTTCAGTTGTGCGGGAGCCGGTCCATTTTCCGCCACAGGCTTTTGCGCTTTCCACCTCCGGACGACGCGTATGTTCAAAATCGGATTACTTCCTAAGGGATTTTCTTTTCTATGGTGGAGTAAACTGAACACCCCAATGTTTTACCATGTAATAAAAATCACGGGCAAATACCGAGGCAATTAATGCCTCAGCAAAATATCACTAGCCATGAATCTGTGTATTTCGATAGTTTGGAAATCGCTTCAAGAGGGGTACCGCTTCTCATACGAGAATGGAATGCAAATTAAAGCGAAAGTCAACGAAACTGCTGTTACACAGAGAAAAAATAGGGAAATCGAGAAGGTATAGCCAAGGTAGGTCATAACAGTTTATAAGAAGTTCAGCTAAATCAAATCAAAGAATTACAATAACTACCTCCTTCCCGATCTTGACCTGCGACCGTACCCTCCGCTTCTACCTCCTTTGCCATAACTATCTCTGCGATCAGCTGAATATTAATAATTAACCGAAACGGATGAAGCGCGGCTTCTGATAACGAAAATGCTAACAAAGTCATTTCTAGTAATGTTTATCATTTTACAGTACAGCTTCTAGATAGCACTGTTATCGAGAGCCTGGAATTGTCAGCTCTGCCCAAGGTAGGACTGTAGTCTAACGAATAAAGACAGAAGTAATTGTTAGCTAATCTTAGGGAATGAAAAAATTGAAAATAATAGCATTAGTCAAACAAACTAGCTACCATTCCTAGAGCTTCTGATTACTCCACCACCATTTACCGGTGCCAGCTGTACTCGCGAAGTAAGCGCCTCACCACCGTCAACCAACACCATCCTCATAACCTGAAAAAAAACGCATAATCTCAGGAATGATCCACAGCAGAATATCCCTGAAGGCTGATGAGTACTACTTAAAACGAGAAGAATAAACACTTTTCTTACTCATTTTATGTATAAATTCTCGCTCTGAACCCAAACTGCTTACCTGGCCATCAAGTGCTACGCCTTTGAAATCCTTGAGAACATTTTCTGCATCACTTCTACGTAAATAAATATCACCGCGTGACGCAACGGATACTCCTGAAAAAGCTGGAGAGCAATGAACGTTGTCTTTTGTGTGCAAAAAGGAGCCGAAAGAATCAGAGAATACCAAAAAAAGGCCCAGGGCATAAGTACCCATCGGTGAATTGGAAGAATCGGAGAGGCGCAAATAAGCAGGAAATGCGCGCCAAAGGGGGTAGAAGGTAGGGTATTCCAATAATCCGCATCGCCATGTCCCAGACCCTCCTGAATTCCTTCGCACCTGCTTCTCTACCTGATCGATTCCCGTCTACTCTGTCGGCTCGCATTTCCCTATTCACCAAATCAACACCTATTCTCTGCTTTGGCGCGCGTTCTCCATTCCCCTCCCTTCTCAATTTTTCCCTAGTGCAAAAAAGGAGCGCGTTGTTGACCTTAACCAAATAACACAAAGGTGGGACCCGTAGTTTTGTGGGGTATAATATGATTAGAGAAAAACGTTGGCAGGCAACTTTCGGCTCGGGGGGAACAAATGGTACCCAGGGAAACGTTACGATTTGACGGACAATCGTACAGCAAATTTCGGAGACGAGAGCAGTCGCTCCATGCCGGAGCTTCACAAGAGTTTACAGATGTTTCCAAACTGAGACCTTTTGTTTAACATGAGTATCAAAAATGAACTAGCAAACTGCAAGATGCCCCTTCTAAGCGAATAGCGCAGCAGCATTCGCATTACAGGATCACAAAAAGTAAAATGTTCAATAGAAAAAAATAGAACGCTCCACTGCCATGCCTCGAGGTTCGCTTTTGCTGAACACTAAAAAGCGGGAAACGGATTTGCACTGAAACCCGGAACTTTTCATTTCCTTCTTTTAGAATCGCCCGAAGAGTTTGCCAAGCAAAGTTATGACAGAACATACGAGACAAAGAACAAGCAAGGTAAGTTTGAAATCAACATGTATTGCATTAACCTGATCGTTATAGTTTACAGTTGCAGCCTCAATTCGATAATTTACAAAAAGTTCTTCGAGGTCAGACGAAACTACTGACGGTGCAAGATTCGAGATGTTGATGCGAACAGTTTTGTTAGGGTTACTTGATCCTGAAAGAACATTTTTCAAAGATGAACACATGAACGCAAAAGGAAGCGACACTCAAATGCACACCTCCAATTTTCGGGCCTCGTACTGCAACAGGTGGAGCGTCGAAGTCAATATACGTTTTGTAGGATCTGGATCCTGAGAAACGCCCTCCAGGGCCTCCTCCCGATCGACCGCTTCTTCCGAATCCTTTGCGGAACCCTAGAATGTATGTACATCACATGAGTTCGCACGTGCGAACGGCCACGTGTAAGGTCGCCATCGTGTAAATCTGATTAGGCCAACGTTCCGCGAACAAGGAGAGCAGTAGCACATGTATGAAGTTGAATTTCGCATGTTCTTAGAATGGACGCTTGAAAAATGACGCAGATCAGCGACAGGGGGAGGGGGAAGGAGGAGGGGGGGGGTTCACACGTCTGCTACTTACCATCGACGTGTAGAGCCATCAAGGGGAGACCTGTGAATCTTGTAAAGCCATGAACTCATATCAGCTGTTGACTACTCTTTCTTTTTGCTGCTCAGTTCATTGCCGATAATAGTAAAGTAAAATAAAGTAAAGTAAAGTTGAAGCTTGCAGAATTTTCCAACTCTTAAAAAGCAATGAAATATCATTCAAATACCATTTATCAGAGCGGCAGAGCGAGCTTGCTTACAGGGGTTCATAGTTTTACCAGAGTGAGCCTTGTAAACAGGAGCTGGTGAAGCAGCGAAAATGCATAATGCACCTCCCTCCCGCTCCCTCCTGCGTCGCCGAGCTGCACCCAAATTCCAATCAGCTTTTGAGTCGATATCGCTGAAAATCGGAAAAGAAAAGTGAACGGACGCAAGACTATTTTTACAAAGCATGAATGCAGCCTTCCTGGTATAGCTTTTACTTT